ATTAAGCCCACCTTGCATTATTCACTCCACTTGCTAAATCATATCCGCCACTGGCTAGGGCACCTACGATATATTCGCCTATTTATTTATTTTATGTCATGGAAGCATCGAGCGAATCGTAAAGCATCATGAATCCTTGTACTTGAATAAATGCAAAAAATAAAACATGTGATTGATTTGACTTAATGATATTTTGAATTTTAATACATTACATTTACTGTAAGTCTGATTTATTTGATCGGAAACAATTCGTTAGTGTTAACAATACAAATTCACACATAACAACAGTAAAATGCGGTGTTCCACAAGGGTCTATACTTGGCCCGTTATTGTTTCTGATTACATAAATGATCTAGTCAATGAGTGTAATTATAACAATGTTGTTATGTATGCCGATGATACTAGTATCTTCTTTAGTACTAATGATTTAGGTTTGGCTTTCGCATCTATAAATTTACTTTTAAACCGCCTCAACAGTTGGTTTCAAACAAACAAACTAACTGTTAACGAAAGTAAAACCAATTACATTTTGTATTTAGGAGTTCACGTAAGACTTATGACTTTACACCTTATAGTCTTACAATGAACAATGTGGAACCTGAGAGAGTCGAGACATGTAAGTTAATTCTTGGTATCGTTTTTGATGAATTTATCAATCTTGGTCACCACATAAATATGATCACATTAAAAATGTCTAAGATTATTGGAATTACTAATAAACTTAAATACAGTATGCCATTTAATGTATTACTTACCATTTATAAATCCCTAATAGTTCCCATTATCACGCCGGGTATCGAGGCACCCACACTACATACTTAGACATCTACAAACTACAAAAGAAAGCCCTACGCATAATAGGCCTATGCAAGTCCATTATCTTTACCCAACTAAATAACTCTTTCTAAAAACTGCATCACTTAATGTTTTTCAACGTTATGAAATGGCTGTCGCAACATTTATGTTTAAATTCTTAAAGGGGCTCGTCCCAAATACATTCCAAAATTATTTCCAACTAAATCGGTCCGTTCATAGCTACAACACAATGTCCAGATCAGATTTTAGATCGTCAAAAAAAGATTCTTCCAAGCCCAACAATCTATAACATATAAAGGACCCTAAATATGGAATAAAATCCCTCAAAACATTAAAGTCATTAACTCTTTCTATTTATTCAAAAGTATCTTAAGAAACACATGATATGCATGCTGTAACAGAGTTTATTGTTAATTCCATGTCTGTTTTATTTTCAAGTTGAACTAATGTTGTAAATATAAACAATTATTACAAATAAGGAAAAAGAAACAGAAGGAAGAAAGAAGGAAAAAAAGAAGAAAAATGAATATATTGCGCTAAAATAGTAGATTATTATAATAATAATGGAAATAATGTAATTATTTATTTTTACAGTAACTTTAATTAATCATGCAACTACTTCAAATTTTATTATATATATATATATATATTTTAATTTTTTATTATCTCTTTATTTTTATTTTTTTATTAAGGAGAGCATGGGCTAAGTGTTGCTGCTGATAATCAGCGCAGGAGCAGGCAACCCCACCAGGTACCCACTTATACTTCTGGGTGGAGAGAAGCAATGCAGAAGTGACACAAGCGAAATGCATAGCGAGGGATTGAAACCCCGACCTCGAGTTTGGGAAACCAAACCGTTCCCGCTGCGGCAAACCGCTTCTGCTAAGTTAGCAAATACAAGCAACCTATTTCTTTATGTTTTCATCCTCAACAGCCAGTTTCGAAAATTATAAAAATTATGGGTTTGCCCTAAAAATGGGTATTTAAATAAACATTTGCCTGGTAATTTTTAGAGAAAATGCTCAAGTACAGAAAATGTCACTTTTCTGAGTAATGGGCTATGAGAGATCAAATTGAACTCTCCTGCACAACCAGTAGCTGCGCCAACGGGGGACGGGGGCTTAAGTCCCCATCGGACAGCTCGTCGGGCAGTCAGACTATAAAAAATTTAAAAATAGGCCCACACGAAGCCAACACATGTCTTTTACAGTTTAAGGGTACCATTTCCGGCCATCCTTATAATTGCTATTATTTTAAAAAATGTCATTTGTTTTTATGCATACAATTATAAGAATTTAAAAAAAAATATATTTCTTTTTGATTTATTAATGTCACTTTAGCACATTTGCTTTAAATGAATTAAAACATAGGCCTATTGCCTTGAAAATAGGAAAATTAAATCAGTATTTGTTTTGCCCTAAAACGGGGTTTGTTGGTATTAAATAGGCCTATTTTCCTGATAATAGTTTCCTGGTAATTTTTGGAGAAAATAGTCTTCCATTACATCTAATTAATAGAATAGGCCTATGTATTTTGAATGATGAGACCAAATTCAACTCTCCTGCACAAATATTAACAGAGTTGCATAGTTTTCCTGATTTTTGCCAAACATTTTATCAAAACCGGTTTTTTTAAGTACTTTTTTTGTTTGTTAATTCATTATTGTCACTTTAGCTATCATTTGCTACCATCATTGAATAAATGGAAACATTCGATGACTTTGAAAACAACAAAAAAAAAATATTTAAAAAAAACCAACTTTTTTTTTTTTTTTTTTTCAAAAACGGGTTTTTTGGTCATAACTTTTTTCCTGGTGTTTTGTAGGGAAATAGAAATATGAGCCCTCTGAACCAAAATGAAGTCTCTGTGAAAGTGTTAGCAGGCTTTTTTTTTCCACAAAATGGATATTTTTTTGCATAAAAGCGGTCATTTAACATCATAGTCGTAGATCCCGGGGGGATGGGGGATATATCCCCCAATATTTGACAAGGGGGTGATGGTCCATTGTATCATTCCCCCCCCCCCAATATTTTGACTATGTATGGGATAAAATGGAGCTTTACACACTTCAAAAGACTGTCACAGAGATAATTTGCACTGTCTTATGCGCTTACAAAGATGAAAATTAGCATAATGTATTAATGTTGATAACAAAATTATTTTCTGGTACCAATCTCTCTTCTTTCCTTAGATGTTAGATGTGCTTGCAAAGAGAGCCACATTTCACACTAAAGGGTGTGTACGACATCAGTAATGTCAATTCCAAGAATGTTTAAGGTTATATCGGTTGATGAGGAATTTATTGATTAGGCCTAGAATAGCAAATTGCATCAATTTATTTTGAAGTTTCCAGCTTCAGAGGGGGCACATCCCCTGTCCGAACAAGGGCACACATTGGCGCTAACACCAGGCTCGTAACAGGGGTCTTGGGTCAGAGTGGGTATTTATTTTTTTAATTTTTTATTTCAACCATCTTTAAAGAGGGTAACCCTTCTAGTTTAGCCCAGTAGGTTAACTGATATTCAGGGGCCCTCTTTATTAAAATTAAAGAACAGTACAAACAACATCATTACAACATAATAATGATGATGATGATGATAATAATAATAATAATAATAATAATAATAATAATAATAATAATAATAATAATAATAACAACAACAACATACAATCTTCATTTCCCGGTTAGTAATTTACCATACCCACCCCACCCCCACTCCCCATATAGAAAACAATACGACATAGGGCTTATCTTATTTATAATATAGGCCACACACGTGTGTTTGAAACTAAATACAAGCATTTTCATCATGGTATTATTTATTACAAACATATTCTTTCACCATCAATACACATTGAGGCCCTTCTTTTAGGTTAAAATGATCTATCTTAATTTGTCTTTCTTGAGTTTGGGGCTATTATGTGTTTAAATAACTTAAAAGGATAAAACTAAAAAAGCCCTAAAAAATGCGCGCAAAATATTTTTGTGTTTTTAATTCTAATTTCGTCGGAATTGATGAACACTCCCTAAAATGTGCAATTTATAGAGGAAATTGGCCTACCGTGACGAGAAATGCGCGCAAAAAATTTGAGAATTTTAGGCACTTTCAGAGGATGCTTGTCAAGGGGTGGGGAAAGATTTTCCAAAGATGGATATTTTCCCCGTGTCCCCCGGTGTTTTAAATTCTAATTTTGTTGGAATTGATCAAACTCCCTAAAATGTGCAATTTTTAGAGGAAATTGGGCCATGTTAACAAGAAATGCGCGCGAAAATTGAGGTTTTTAGGCACTTTCAGGGGATGAAATGGCATTTATAAAGGGGTGGGGAAGATTTTTCAAAGATAGATATTTTCCCCTTGTCCTCCAGTGGTTACGCCATTGGGCAGCATAGGTCAAAGGAGTTATGACAGTTTTTGAAGTGGAGAAGGGGTGACAGGGTGTTGCGAGTCATCATTATGATATCTTCCTTTTTATTCTTGTCTTTATTTTTCTCTTTACTTTTTCTTTCCTTTTCTTTTCCTCTTCTTTCTCTTTCCCTCCCTCTCCCCTCTTTCTTTTCTCTTATTCCCCAGCCCGGTACGACGGCTTGGTCAGCCCGGTAAAAACCGTCAGGGGCAGTCCCCCCCCCCCCCGCGCCTGCTGGCTAACACGCCAATCATCCCCCAATGAAAAATATTTTTCTACGCCACTGTTTAACATTAGGCCTAAATGAAAGAAATTCGCTAGGGATCCACCAGATTCGTAATCAGCAAGGTCAAAATACACCCAGAATCAACTGGATCTCAGTTCTACCCAAAAATGTCTATTGCATCATCATTTTTGGGATTTTAACCAATGTTTTCCAACCCTTTATCTCCCACGGATATCCGACATTTGAACATCCCCCTCTCTCTCTTGTTCGCCTCATCATCATCAGCATCCAACTGTGCCGACTTTACAACTCGGCATAGTATTTTTTGGAGTGACCCCGCCCTTTTTATTTTGAGGCCAAACGACCACAGAGCAGAGTGAGCGACGTATACAAATATTTGTTTTGTTCACGCCTCCGCCGCTAGCCGATTACTTGTGTTTTGCAACACAGAAAAAGATAAGGGAAAGACTTTATTATAAACCGATGACGTCGATTGGTGACGTTCGTTCCACTCTGTCGAAATACACTAATCAGAATTCTTCTTTCACCACAGCCTCTTCACATCTGTCGCTAGATGTAGTAAACAATCAATGAATGGTGAAAGAAAAGCATTCGACGTGGACAAATTGAGCCTTGCGTCATTTGTTTTAGTGGTTTAAAGACACACAAGCTTTAGTAGTACATATTAGCTTACATAAAAGCCGAAGTAAAGAATAGACTGATAAAACAACGTTAATATGTGTGGTAAGTACAACAACAACTATTGTCGACGTGTATTTAGTTAGGCCCATCCAGGCCCTAGCTAGATGTGCAATCTAGCCTAGCCTCTTCCTACTTTACAGTGAGCTGGCCAGGCGGCCAGGCTGGCTACTACTAAGCCTAACATACCTAGAGAGGCCCTCTTTCCTAGCTAGGCCTAGGCTAGGTTTAGACCATTGCCTTGGCCATAACTAGGCTAGGCCTCTAGTACTACTGGCCTATTAGTAGGATAGACCTAGATCCTGTCCAGCATAGGCTAGGCCTACTTACTACTCGATAAAAAGTCTAGGCTAAGGCATATGCTAGACTGAAAACGGTAGGCCTAGCTTAGACTGAGCAGGGAGATGTAAAAAATGAGTGAGTGAGAGAGATCCTTTTCGAATTGTAAACATAGGTCAGTGTTGCATAGTTTAGTGTAGACATAAAATATTTATTAGATTATCACTCACAACATTTTCAAAAAAAAGTCATGATGGTATTTTTTTTTATTTTTTAAATTTAAATAAAATATAAAATAAAATAAAAGATAAATAATTTAAAGTGAAACCATAAAATATATTCCAACAACGATGCAATGTGTAAAAGTGTATTGCATTAAGAAAGACAAAGTGCACATAAAACATATGCGTCGTAGATATGAACCGCAAACCACACGATAAATTGTTAAAAATTACTGTAAAAAATTTAAGGCCTTGGCTATGCTTGTGCTAAAGTGATCGAAATCCCAACGTGCTGATTGGCCGACTTGGCTTTACCCTAACCTTAAAAATAACTCTTGCTATGCACTACATCTCGGCGAAAGCATAGCAAATTTGAAAATTTAATATTTTTTATGTGCCAAATTTTTTGGTGGGGGGTAGTGATATTCTTAAATATTTTTTATCAGCCCTTATTGAAGCTACCAGTAACTTACTGTTGCATCCATATTTAAAATCTACTAAAGTTATCCTTTAGAATAACCATGTAACCTTGGTTGGCCCAGATTATGTTTCATTAATCCATTTTTGATTGTTGGACTATAAACAACATTTGAAGAGTCTGCATACAGTGTCATTGGTTGGATAAATTACCAAATCATGAACAATTTATTACTAAGAGCACACCTACAAAAATGATTCCAAACAAAATTGAATAATTAAAATGCAATTGAATATTTATATTTAAGTTTTATTTCCACCATTTAAAATTTGAATTTTAACTTTTTGTTTCTTTTGGCACGTCAGACCAGTACTTAATGATTCGTCATCAGTACTGAGTACAAATGCTAATTTATTTGATAACTGTCATTATATCTGCAGTGTTTCTTATTCTTGTGAATTTTCTATAATAGTTTCATCCAATCATTTACCGGAAGTTCTTTTCATACCAAGTTAAGTTTTGTTATCTGAGATTTAAAGTATTAGTTAGTCAATCATGAGTAGATTTCAGTAAGTGGGTTTTCATGGTCAGTGGAGGCGATTTCTCTAAATTGTGTCTCTAAAATGGTTTAGTGAAGTACTTTATTGTAAGTTCATAGTGCTTGACCTATTTTGTCAAACTGTCATCTTCCTCGTCGTAGGTGTACCTGACCGGTAGTAAATTCCATTATAATCTATAGTTTCTCTTCAAATGAAACAGAAGTTTATTAGTTTACACTGATGCCTGACAAGTTTTGTAGTGCTCTAGATAGACCCAGTGAGATATTTTTCAACATAAAATTGAAGCAACACAAGTGCTGTACACTTTAGGCTTAGCAAGAAACATTTTTATGAAATTATGGGCTTAGGAGGTATGATGACTATACTGTTTGTGTACTGTCAATTTTCTCTTGTATTCCACAAAAATGTCAATTTCAACAATTTATTTAATTCTCAGATTTTTTTTTCTAAATATCCTTATGATTTGCATACTATTGTTTAATTTACAATTGATTTTTTACAGATGTTCTGACTCTTTCCTCTGACAATTAATACACTGTTAGGTTATTACATCATAGATGCATTGTTCCCTTTCCTCTACCAGATACACATCAGTGGATTGGTATTAAGCTTTTAATCATTACAGGAAAATCTCATCTAAAGATGTCACAGGAAACTTTAAGCAATATTTTTTTTCAAGAATAACTTTGTCTTTCTCTTAATTCTGTACACAAAAGCAATATTGTAATTTAACAGGAAAATTGGAAGTAGCTTTTAACATAAAATAATTCTTTTTTTATAAATAACTTTCCCATTGTTCTTTCAGGCATTTTTGCTTACATTAATTACCTGGTTCCAAGGGACCGGAAGTACATCTTAGACTGTCTTATAAAGGGTCTTCAACGTCTGGAGTACAGAGGTTATGATTCCGCAGGTATGGTCTCCTATATCATAACATTTTGTTTATCATTTCAACGTTGTTTGCATTCAGTAAATTCATCGGATTGATGTTTTACCCTACCTGACGTGTTGTCGTACTGACTACTCAGTTTGTTCCTAAATACTTGCAAAAGAAATCTCTCAAGTGTTGTGGGTGGGAATCAAACCCATGACCTCTCTAGCCTGGTGTCATAACCACTAACCACTAGACCACCAAGCTTTCGTTTTGTGACGAATGCTTAACTCATCCCCAAGAAGCAGCGGGCACTGCAATGCTATTTTGATGTTTGCATCAGTAAATTTCATAGGAGTGATGCTATGTATGGTAAAACGAAGGCCTTCTGAGCATTACCTTGAAAGATCACTTTAAAATTCTTCTGAGCGTTACCTTGAAAGATCACTTTAAAATTCTTCTGAGCATTACCTTGAAAGATCACTTTAAAATTCTTCTGAGCGTTACCTTGAAAGATCACTTTAAAATTCTTCTGAGCGTTACCCAGAAAGATCACTTTAAAATTCTTCTGAGCGTTACCTTGAAAGATCACTTTAAAATTCTATCATAAGTGTTTGATCCAATGACCAGGGTAGTAATGTGAAGCACTTAGAGGATTTGTGCATGAAGCGCTATATAAGGACAACATATTATTATTATTAATCAAATACATGGGTGAAAGAAATTTTAACATTTCGGGGATGGGGTGCTCTTCGCCAGCACACCTCATATTTTTTTGGATTTTAAGTTCCAGGGATTGAAATGTCTGCGTGATAGAATATTATAACATTGGTTACATCACTAAACTTTCTGTACCGTATTTCTCTAGGAAGTGAATTCATACCATAAAGGTAGAATAAGAATACTAGAGAACTAACTGCAATGTATTAAATGTTCAAAAAGTTTTGAATACAGTTGATACTCCACTTGCCCTCTTTTTGATTCTGATAGTTTAATAATTTATTAATATTATTGATAATAAGGATTAATGAAATAACAATAAGTCAGCGGTCTTGGTTGTAACATGCACAGTAAGCCTGAAGGTGGCGCTTTCCTATGGTGGCCATCTTGGATGGTACACATTACTGTGGCATCTAGTCAGCACTCTAGTTGTTTACTAGCTCTATGAGTGAGACTGGCTGTTGTGTGTGTCAATTAACAAATCAATATTTTGAGCTCAACATCTGTGAGAGTCAGTGAAATTAACAATGGATTAATACAAACCATTGTATTATCTGGTACAGACTACTTAATGATGCAATTGCATTAATTACTACATCATTCCAAGGTATGTATGCATAATTATTGAGCTTGGTTTAATAATAAATAAATAATTCTGGATTTTTTCTGGATTTTGGTTTCATTTTAAAGTTGCATTAGGTACAGCATACAAAATAGGATAACCATATTTTAATTTTTATTGCTAATGATCTTAATTTTTAAATGTACTTGCTTTTTGATGTGAAATAGAAATGTTTCTAAAAGAAATTATTAAACAAAATGTATTAAGTATGAGTGGAGATGAATAGCTTGGATGCTGCTTGCCTTCCATTCTCAGGGTCCTGGGTTCAATTCCTGTGAGTGTTCAAGATTTTTTTCTCATAACCAAAAACAACTCCACTCCCTAAACCTCATATTGAGATTTAGTTTGTGTAAAGCATTGAGTGTGTATTGTATTGTGTAAGGGATTGTCACTTACAAAGTAGGACAGTGATATATTCGCTATTGACAATTCTTAGTGCATGTGTTGTGTGCCTAAATGAATAATACAAAAAAAAAAAAAAATTATAATCTGTAAATTTCTGAATATTATGTCTGAACAAGGTTAATAAAATTTAAAGAAATAACAAGTAAAATGTAGCACTGTACTCACCACAATTTGAAAATATAAGAAAATAAATACAGTTAATTGTAATAAGATTATACTGTAGAATATGAAATACAATGGAATATGAAGCTCAAAATTGTTTCCAACACAATTACATCGCCATAGTAATACAGTATATAATGCAATAATAATAGTGCTACAAATCTACGTCAAAGCGATTCAGTAAGTATTTTCCATACGAGCTAAAGAAAAACAAAGATCAAACAATGACAGTAAATACTCTTAATTTTCAACTGTTTAGTTTAAGTTAGTCTGTAATATCAGCCTGATGATAACTCACTTGTCCACTATACAATTAAATGTATAAAGTGCTTTGCTCAAATGATACGTAAGCAAGATTCACAGTGAGGGATTGTAACACCAACATCGAGGTTGGGAAACCAAACCATTCCCACTGGGCCAAACCACTTTAGCTGTATCTGCAGACTATAATATGGCATATGAAAGGGAGCCATGATAAAAATTGTATAAAAAATCTATCAGTATATTCTGTATCTGAACATTAAAATGTAAAAGGGATACACAAATTCTTTCAACAGGTAATAACAAAATTAATACTTTTCCGCATAGTCGCTGTATCTAATACTTCTGTAATTTTTTAAAATCAGGAATCGCATTTGATGGCAGTAACGATGATCCAGCTCTTATTAAAAAGCCAGAAACTAAGATCGTCAAGAAAAAGGGCAAAGTGAATGCGCTTGAACAGGAGTTGGCCGGTAGGTATCAAAATCATCAGTTGCTAAGTTTTAGGAGTGTAATATGGGGCACACCTATGAGGCATACCTCAGATGGGTGCACCATAGCTACCAGGCATGCCCATAAGTGACTTGCTAACAACAGTTCATTCACAGTTAAACTTCAGTTTTTCATCCTGGCATGTACATGACTAAATAGTGGATGTACGTGTAATAGGGGTGCACACCTCATTAGGGCTTCATTCCCTACAACAAATAAGGTTTGCACTTGTAGGTAAGAATGTTAAAGCCTTGACAGTTTTATTTCTATGGGGAGTCACTAGGAACATATTGTAGTAAAAGGCATAATCTTAACCTAGGATGCATAGTTCAGTTATTATCAAGATGAGTAATAATGGTGATTGTTTATGATGAGTTTAAATCATCTGGCTTGTAGTTTAAAAAAGTATTCAGTTACACTGTTTTTTATTCATTAGTGATTATATGCTATGCTGATTATTATAGATTATTATATTTTTGTTAACATAACAGAGTTGATTATATGCTATACTGGAAGAGATTCTGTTGATATACAGTAGAGAGCTACATAGAAAATGTCCTTCCTCTGTTGTACCTCTTGGCTTAATCATGCACAAATATTTTGATTGTTGTACTATTGTGTTGACATTGTGGCAAGTCTCCAATCATCTGAAGTTATATTTCGATTATTATAGATTATTGTATTTTTGTTAACATAACAGAGTTGCTGACTTTAAGTAAGGCATTAGTTTCCTATTGAAGGTTAGACTAAAAAAAAATTGTCCTTATCTTTAATAATAATAATAATAATAATAATAATAATAATCAAATCACCAGTTTGTCAACATTTCAATTGCCATCTGCCAGGTTTTTAGCATTAGCTATTTTATAAGACTATAATAACATTAAAATATTTGTATTTTTTTGTTATTAGCTGAAAAAGATTTGAAGCTTGACATTGAGTATGAGGTGCATTGTGGGATTGCGCATACTCGCTGGGCCACCCATGGAGCCCCGAATGCCGTCAACAGTCATCCTCAACGATCTGATTCAAATAATGGTCAGTATGACAAGTTTCAAACTAAGCTATAGTACATAACTGTTTCTGTCATATGTTTTATTTAATCTGATCCAATAGAGATTTGTCACTTAGGGTAGAAGATAAACAGTGGCGGATTCAAGGGGAATGGGGCCCAGCCTGACCGGGCCCTAAAAAATTTGGAGAAAGAAAGAAAATTATTTTCAATTTGAAGTCTTGGAGAGTGCCATTTCTGGCCATCTAGAGGTGCCATAATCATCAATTCATTGCCTTACATCTCAAATTAACACAATCAAAGTAGATTGTGTTAGTTTGTGAAAACAAAATAGCTTGTCAAAATAAGTGCGTATTGTTTGTCATATTCTTTACTGCACAAAAAGTCTGTGAGGACAACAGCGCATATTTTAACACTTTTTTGTTTTCACAAACTAACACAATTTACTATCATTGTGTTAGTTTGTGATGTGAGTGATGAATTTTCTTATCGCAGCCCCAACCATGGTGTAGTTGAGGTGGCATAGACCCTCCACCTTTGAAAGTCCCTCCCTGAATCCCCTCTATTTTAAATTCCTGGATCTGCCATGTATAAAAGTGATATCCCATTGAATTTTAGCCCATTACCCTGAGTAACTCTTACCCATGTTTTGGCCAGGGAGTGGAATGGTTTTTAGTTGTGAGAAAAGTCTTGGTATTAATCCCTTGGTCCTTTGACTGAATTACATGCATCAATAACCACCAAGTTACACCCACTGATCTCTATTATAATGACTGGATTACTCATTGCCTGATTTCAGTGATTGTACTGACACCATGTTGGGGAGCCCAAAATGTCAGAAATACGCCATCACAGCACAAAAATTTTTGAACCGGCGTGACGATAAACAATCAACAACATCGCTCGCGCTTTTGTAAATTGCACAAACAGGCATGTTGAAAATAATCATTTCGTTAAATTTTAATTTATTAAGTATTGCAAGAGTTGATATTTTTAGCATTAATTTAATTTCGAGACTGGTATATCACTTTGGCTCTTGCAAGTGGCGTTGGACGCTTCACTTTTTTCTGTACAATGATTGGCCGATGAGCAATCCAGTCATTATAATAGAGATCAGTGGTTACGCCCCCATTTCAATTTGGAGAAATTTATTGTTATAATAAAATTATGTGTGTTTATTTTAGAATTTGTTGTTGTTCACAATGGTATTGTTACAAACTACAAAGACATCAAGAAACTGCTGGAGGGCAAAGATTTCCATTTTGAGTCTGATACCGACACTGAAGTGATCGCAAAGCTCTGCAAGTATTTGTATGACAACCGCGAGAACGATGACATGTCCTTCAGGGAACTCATTGAAAACGTCATAATTCAGCTGGTGAGATACATGAGCATTATATTATATAATAATAATGGTTCATCTATATATTTGATATGTTTGTATTTTGTACACCTTTTTTATTGCTAGGCCTGATTTGTTTTTACTCAGGAAAAACCAAGAGCTCATTATAGATAAAAGATAAGACTCATAATTGACTGACTCACTCAACACAGTTAAAAAAAAATTACTTTTTGTGAGATAACACAAGTTTAGGTATGGAACAAAAGAGCAATAATAATTTCTTTGTTTTTATAATCAATGGAAATGATGATTGAATGATTCAGCTTAATGGCTGTTTATCATAAATCATTTCTAATACTTTCTTTCTCACATAAAGGAGGGTGCCTTCGCCTTGTGTTTCAAAAGTACTCACTTTCCTGGCCAGTGTGTTGGAACCCGTAGAGGAAGCCCTCTATTAATTGGTGTCAAGACCAAAGGCAACCTCTCTAGCAACTTTGTGCCAATTCTTTATCGTGATAATAGAGGTGAGCTATTAAATTTGATTATATAATATTTATTTTCACTGATAACTACTGTATATAATTCCTGAAATTATTGACACATCCTTAAAAGTTAAATTTATATAACAGATTTTCCATTCAAAGATACTGAAATATGCAACACAAGCTCGTATTGTAAAGAGTGATCACTTCCTCTTTGATACAACGGCACCTCACACCCTGTCTGGTGCAGAGTAGCAGTATATAAACAAGCCTTGTCTACAACCAATTCATGTATAGTGTGGTATAACATTTAGGCATGAGTGTATTTTGAAATGTTGATTGTATTGTCTGTTAGGAATAGATTTCCAAGACAATGGGAACTATGATGAAGGTAAGGATTTGCACTTTCGTATTGCACACTAATAAAGTTAAGCACCTAACATAGTATATAATGTGTTAGTGATGGCTGCTTCTATTCAATGCTAGGCCCAATAACAACAAAAATAGTTTACCATCTCTCTAATGGCTTTTTACAATTTAATTTTTTTGCAATTTATTGTTAATGTGATCTGCCATATTTATTATTTAGCTGTAGTGTATCCTAGTACTGCATTTTCTGGGTGTGAAATGGGTCATAGGTCTTCCTGCATTTTGAGATTACAAAAAACCAAAGCGTTCTCATGTGTTTTAGTACAGTTTAATGATGAATAATTTTCTTTTGTGCCTTACTTGAAGTATGAGTCTGTAATGATAATAATAATTCTTAATTACTCGTACTACTAAAATGTCTTTGGTTGAAGTTGGTATCAATATTATAAAAGCAATGAAGTATTATTTAAGAGAGGATTTTTTTCTGCTAGTTAAGTAGAGAAGCTGTCACTTGATGAGTTGATAGGTCGCAATTTAATTCATACTGTGCATTTGTAGTTTCTGGCTAATCATTGTAGTACTAATTTTTTTTTTTTTTGCCCAGTGATGAGTTTTTAATTCTCTGATAAATTTGTAACAATTTTATGTATATTTTATTGTGTTTTTGTTTTGCTAATCCATTATAATCCATAATACATTAGGCAGCATTCATTTAGCAGCAAAGTTTCTTACCATTATCAAAATGTTGATAGGGCAAGATGAGTTTAAAGTGGTGGCTTTGCATGCTTGCTAAAGTTCTGCCCAGTATTTTTTTTTTGCACTTTCCCAAGCCAAGCTAGAGGGTCATCCTCTATAAATATAGTGTAACAAAATAAAAATAAAATAGTTCGTGAAATAGTAACTGCAGAAAAGAAATGATGGAAAAGCTAAAGATCAGAACATAATATAATTCACAGGGAAAAGGATGATAAAAATATTACAATAGTTTGATTTTTATAATGCCCTATAATGTTGAGGCACCATGTCTTATACGGGCAAAATGCAATCCAGCCTACTGTGTCTCTATGTGAGATCTCACCACAAAATGAGTCTCATGGTTAAAAAATAAAAAATTGTGTTTATGTTATATTTGGATAGATCAAATTATAAGCTTTAATTTGGTTTTTTTAATGGCTTCCCTAAGATAAGTAGATCTAGAGATGTGAGCATAGGTTTAGGTGTATGAGAACCACGTTTTGAGAAAATCAGCCTCAAAGATAAACTATTCTGTACAAACTAGAACACAGAACATGTGCAGAGAACACTGTTTTAGAAAGAAAATTCACTTAAAAAGTATACAATCATAAAATATAAGTATCAAGTTATTTAAAAACATTAAAATAAAAATGTTAAACAATTTTTTGACTTTGACCTATTTTGGTGAATCTCAGTATGATTTCACCAACGATACGTCTCATTTCGTGGTGAGACCGCACATATATTCAAAAATGAGATCCTGTCCGCATGTATTAGAGTTACACTTTTATCAAACAAATTATTGAGACAAAAACATTTTGCGCAATAACATTAGAAAGATTATTGACAAGAACATTTTTTGTTTCTTTGAATCCTTATTAACAAGCTAAAGAAACGGAGAACACCACGAAACAAGACAATGAAAGTAATTGTTCAGGTTTGCCTTGGTCCTTTTGTTTCTTTATACTCCCTTCCTCCAATACTAGTCTTGAAAATTTACCCATTCCTTTATATCTAGTCTTGGTGGCTAAAATCAGACTAATGGAATGATATGCTTGTTGGAATGATTTTAGTTCTGAAATATATCTGCATTTTTTTTTCAATAACTTGCTTATATTTTAGATAAAAACATGTCTTTTAGTTTCCCAATCATCAATTTCAGTTTTTCAATTCATAGGTGATTGCCATCTTCCCCATCATTCTCTCTCGATATACTTCTTTTACGATTGTTTACATTTTTATTTATTACCATACATTGAATTTAAAGTACAGTACAGTAACATCTCCCAATTACGAACTTCCCATTTATAAACTCTCAATTTTACAAACCAAATTTTTGGTGGTGACGTCATTACGAGTGATCGTTTTTAACTACAAAAACACTTTCTTCAGAAATAGTTTTAATTGTTACATCAGCTAAGAGAGAAGACATTCAAACCAATAAAGTTATATTAAACTAATTTTAAAGCAAAAAATATCAATCGTTTTCAGCAGAGATATCATGAGGCCGACCAGCCCTCCTTAAACTAACGTTAGAATACTGCACTTTCGGCCGTAAAAAACAATTAAAACCTCATAAAAAAGGCAACTAATCCGTTTACCCATAATTGAATCCAAGGACACCAGTGTTAAACACTCAGTACTTATCCTTGATAATGTGTTAATCCAATTAATATAGTGAGATAACGTAACGTTAGTTTATCAAGGGCGGGTTGAGCTAATGATTATATTTGAGCTGTGCATGCTTGGTTCAGGCATATTTTACAGTCAGTCTCACTTTTTGATCATTGAGGGCGCTATTCGCATAGATTCTTTATGAAAAGAATAATAACACTCATTTTGGGCATTATTTGGTCATGTTTTTATTTGGAAATCACTTCAAATAATTCTTCACATTGAGGTAATTTTGGAATATTCTTTTGTTACAGAAAACAGTAATATCCAAGTCATATCGTGACAAAATTCTCCCATGGGCAAGGCTTAATCCTGCCTAACCCTGTACTGTACTTTGTAGCGTAGGCCTTGGCCTACCCTCACCACACTGAAATGCTGAAAATTCTCTGAATTATGAATTTTCTCATTTACGAACACTGTTCGGACAGAGAGGTACATAATTGGGAGATGTTACTGTATATTTAAATCATTAGTTATTTTTCTTAATGTTATGTAAGTTGGTGTATATAGAATTTTTATTTATCAGAGAATCAGTGGTTCTAAATTAATGGCCCGTTCCAATAAACCCCACTAAGATATTGTTGCTGGTTCCACAAAAAAATGATATTGTAGCGAGTTGATTGACCGAGCGGTGAAATCAAGCACACCATAACCTTCAGCTATAATATTGGCACTGGTTCGATCGGCTCACCCGCCTATGGTTCTGGTGGTAGAACAAGTCTTCTCGGATAAGGACTTTAAACCGCAGGTCCAGTGTACGCCTTTGGCTTGTGTGCACTTTAAAGAACCCAGTACATACTTCGAGAAGTGTAGGGTGTTACTCTGGTGTACTGGTCCATTCAATCCCCCGTTGTTTAATGGGTATGCCACATGGGATAGTGATTAAGGCCTAGTTCATACTAGGTGGATAAACCCGGCTCAACTCACCAGGTTTTATTCACCTGCCAGTCTGAAATAGGTGGCTTATCTAAAGCTGGGCTGTGTTCCTATAGTAACAAGGCCTGGCGTGCCACCATGTTTAACTTTTGTAAGTCAGGCTTTAATCGTTGCGGGGGTCTTACATTGACTTCCGGGTAACGAAATGACCAATCAGCATTCAATTACATACACTGTGAGCGAGCGTACGTACGTTTTGCGAGCAATGTTTTGAAACACATTTCCTGGTTACGGTTCATTATTATGCAAATTCTCGCCTGGCTAAACCCGCTAGTCTGAATGCCCGGCAAAGTTAAGCCGGGCTTAACGTTGAGCCAGGCTTAACTCAAGCCTGGCTTATCTCCAAGTCTGAACGTAGCCTAAGTTCGCTAATTGACATGTCCTTGGCGAAATGGAATGAAATGAAATAAAGACATAGGCAAACATGTGCGTTCGTTGACATGTGCATATTCTTTGCTCTGCTCGGATTGGTCAGTTGTTAAGTTTGATTGACCCTCCCGGAAAGGTCTATTGGTTGATTTTTTGATCCCCTGCCGGGGGTTGCTTTTTCTTAAATATAAAATTAATTCACTAGTATATTTATTTGGGATGTTAATTATCATAGGATTTTGTTTATTGGTTGATTGAAAGTAGCATGGTTTCTTTGGTACAAGCCCCCCATAAGTTTTAAATCTTTGTGTGGGATGGTTTTAGCCAGGTTTTACTGATGTAACTATTCAGCTGCTAAATTATGTACCATTAATGTATTGTTAATGTGCATTTAACATGCATTAGCTTTGATACTTTTCTCTGGTATTACCATTATTAAAATCAGTAGACATTTATGTTATTAAATTTCTAGTGATGGGTCCACAGTATGAGAGATAGAAGCATGTCTTCTTTTCCTGTTTTGACTCCTAACATTTTCAATTTTATTTCTACAATAGATTAGAAACTGCACCCCGTTACAAAATCTTGGGATTTGTGCCTGATTTGTTGGAGATGAGATTAATAAAATTAGTTCAAGTTTTACAAAGACTTAACGTAACTGAAAATGACAGAGCAGAGGATTAACCCTTCAAGCTGGGATACTTGTTCAAAAGGGGTCCCTGTAGAAAAATTAAAAAAAATTATAAGATATCAAATGTATGCATTTGATGTATTTCAGAAAAGAAATAATGGACATTTTTGCAGTAACGATTGGTCATTATTTACGTGTAGGTTGTATACTTGTTTTCTACTTTTGAGAAAGGAAAATTTTGTTTTCTATAGAAAAAAGCCACATTGGTAGTGCATACCAAATTGTAGCCATCACCTGGCTTTGAAAATGTAGTTACCCACTGATTAGACTGTTGTATATAGACCAAAACTTAAGCCGTGATTATAGCTGGATGAGCGTTAAGTCTATCCATAGATTGCTCTGCTTCAGTATCTTTCCCATAGGAATGAGCATGATACATTTGCCGTTTTATTGATTCATTATACTAACCATCATAAGAGGTATTCTTTTGTTTTTCAGTAACTAATATATCTTGTAGTTATATAGATTTCAGTATGTTAACTTTACTGCTAATAGTGTAAAAAGACTAAACATTTATTTTTCTAAACTCAATCTTTATCGTCATTACTCGCGGCTTATTGCTATAAAATAGTCTTAAACTACTAGTTTGCTACAGCCTGTGGTGGTCAGTTGCTTGTTGAGGCTAGGCCCTAGCCGTAGTTCTCACAGTATCAAATAAAAAAGACTTGTTAGAGCCTTTTTTGCAAAAAGCTGCAAAACACTAAACTCTATGACAAATTAGTCTTGGCCTGGGAATATGAAAATTACGTTGAAGGTAAAATGGTTTTCATCACAATTGACTTATAACATATAATATATATAGTATTGTTGTAATCTTGTATTTTGATCATCAATTCTTTTTAATATATTCTAATTGGTTGATAAGAATCTTGCTTTATGCCTGTTTTGTTTTTCTAATATTCAAACATTCATTCTATATATTTTAAATTTTCAACCCTCTTCGAAAAATACAATATAATCCATTTATTCTCCGACTTTATTAATCTTCAGCTGAGGACTCGAGTGTATTCAAGCGTAGCCTTAGCACAACAGACTTTGAAGTAAGCGGTGACATCAAGGCAGCAGAATACTACTTTGCGAGTGATGCTAGTGCAATTATCGAGCACACAAAGCGTGTTATCTACCTTGAAGATGATGATGTTGCTGCTGTCATGGATGGTTGTAAGTTGCTGGTCAATATCATTTATTATGAAATTATGGTTTCATTATACATGTAACATATTCAATGCACTTTTTATACCTTGTTTTGTGAACTCCTTGCTTGCCAGTAATAATGATTTCAAATAAAAGTAAAATTTTATTTTTGCCCAATTAGCGCACCTTCCACCACGAAAAAATTAAAAGTTCAGAAAAAAATATCCTAAAAAAGATACCTAATTCATCCTTAATCTTACATAAGGAAACGTAAAAAAGGAAAAGGAAAGAAAAGATAAGGCAACACTAGAATGGAAAAGGAAAGGAAGTTTAAAGGGGATATAAGAATAGATAAGGATCTTGGGATTGGGAAATGTAGGTAAGGGTTGTTTGGAGGAAAGGAAAGAAATGACAAGCCAAACACATAACAAAATGTAAACAATGAAATAGTTGAATTGATAGGAATATCTAAAATTAAATGGATAAAGAATAAAGAAAATGGAATGAGGAGGTAATTGAGATAAAAACTTGGTTGACATTTAAATAATTAAACATTAGTATTATGAAAATAAAATTAATAAAATAAAAAAAAATAAATAAAAATTAATCATAAAATTAAGCTTTTTTTGTTTTGATTGCTAAAGATATATTTAATCATCTTTTAAAAAAAATTCTGTTCTGGCTTTTGCTTTTAATGTAAAGCGCATAGAGGTTTATAGCGTTTTGCGCTATATAAAAATAAATTTATTATTATTATTATAAAAAATTATTATATAAAGCTATGTTTTTAATTTTCTCCCTGCCTGGATGTTTTTGGCAACAGCCATTTGCTCCCCTTCTTTCTGACGATCTCTTAAAAAAAAAACAGTGGCTAACAAGGTATTAGAAAAAGACTTATGAATTACGTGTTGATATATCAAGCCATACATTATATGTGCTTGTATGTGTGCTAATATGTTATGTGTCCTCATACATTATTTGTGGTCTTAATTACGTGCTCACGTGTGCTCATTTATCATTTGTGCTTTTACATTGTATGCAGAATTATTTTACGTGAGAACACGTTGGGCAACGAGATTACGTTTTTTTTAGTAACTTCTTACATGAAATCACAGACTACTGAAGCATCATGGGTAAATGATTTGTGTAGTCTCTTCCACATCTCCCAGTTTCTTTACTAGCTTGTTTCCTATATCTGTTTATTATAACAAAACAACTGTGGAATAGATTAGCAATTTTTTTGAGGATTTTTTGAATTTCTTAACCAGACGGGAAAGGTAATTAAATTACCAATGTTAATGTCTCCTTGCATATGATAGCACAATGAGATGTACTTCGCTTAGAATTAGGCCATTGAATGTGTAAACACGATGAATACTTTACCCACAATGTTTACATTTGACAGTACTATATTAATTGTACTTCATGTTATGGTCTTTCTCTGACATTATTACACAATTGCAACATATCTACTTATTCATGAACAACTTTATGTTACATTGAGAGACTTTATCAAGTTCTTTACAGGCATCGAAGGGGTGATGTTGCTGGCAGTAGGTGCAAAGTAGTTCAGCTGTAGTTGTGTGTGTATGCTCGAACTGTGTGTTTTTTTGCGGGTTTAAGGTTTCTGTCTTCAAAAAACTGGGTGTGGTTAGTTGGAAAATTAGCTTCCTTAGCTCTTGTCTGCAAAAAGTCTTTAAAAACTGAAAAGAAACATTATGTTGTAACTATATTCCTACATTTTCCTTCAACATACTGTGGAAGCTTCAAAATTATTTAAATTTTTTTGTAGGATAATCTAATAATTCAGCTAAAGAGGGAAGCCATAGTTTTTTTTTCATCAGGAACTTCGTTAAGGAAATCAGAATAAGTTCTCACTCCTACATCATATATGGCTAATCTTAATACCAACACCTTTGTTACATTCTTACAAACTACAAATATTAGTCATGAGCACTTGATTCTTGTTTGACATTTTAAAATCTTAATACCAACACCTTTGTTAAACATTCTTATAAACTACAAATATTAGTCATGAGCACTTGATTCTTGTTTGACATTTTAAAATATGTTTTTTTCTCTAAGGTCTATCAATCCATCGAATAAAGAAGGAGGAAGGTGAGGTGATGTCAAGAGAGGTACAGACACTAAAGATGGAGCTTCAACAAATCATGAAAGGTAAACATTTTGCTGTGTATAAAACACTAGTGGTGGTGTTGGTGTCAGAATTTTTATAACAACAAAAATACAACCCCAATCCCCAAGTTTCATAAAGAGAATCAGTCATCTGAGGCATCAAAGGTCACAGATGATCAGTTTCACTGGGTGTGTCACCTTCATTATATGGTGTAACGTCCTCCTCCACCCCCTAAAAATCATAGTTTCAAGCTTAGATTATTTAATATCTGAAATGGTATCCATGACATCTTGCTGCTATTTTGACAAAGTTTACTAGCATCCCTCATGCTATTGTTGTTATTGCTTATTTTTTTAGTTACCAGTATATATAATTTTTCTTCAGGTAATTACCAATATTTCATGCAGAAGGAGATTTTTGAGCAGCCAGAAAGTGTTATCAATACCATGAGAGGGCGAGTCAACTTCAAAGAAAAACAAGGTAAATTCCACATGAACAATCATACAAGCAAGAAAGCAACCACAAAACAAAAGTGAGCACCATTGTTGCATGAACAGTGCCACCAATCTTAACTCAAGGCTCCTCTCTTCTAGTTTTATTGATTGTGCATTTATTAAGTAATTTCTTTTTTCCTGCTGCAATTCTCCCAAACTTACACTTTTTCACTCTGACCAATTAAAATCTCAAAACATCTGGTTTCCATTTTTTTAAATAAAGAAAACCCAGATGAAATTAATGATAAACTATTTCCCTGTTTGTGTACAGTATACCTTGGAGGATTGAAGGATCATCTTTCAGAAATTCACCGATGTCGTCGTCTGCTGTTCATAGCTTGTGGAACCAGCTACCACTCAGCCATAGCTGTAAGTATTTCAGTTGTAATATCTTGTAGTATCTGGTTAACTGATGAATGCATTTTGCTCTGTGAGGGCACATGAAGATGCTACACCATCTGCTGATTGTGAGTGGCAGTTTAACCAACTACCATAGTCATCGGCAATGATCCGCTGCACATGCCTTGTTATGTTGCTGTCTCCCGGCAACCTTACCTTTAGTGATGTCTTACCTTTAGTGGTAATAGGAGGCAAAGAGTTTGAAACTTGTGTCGGATGCCCCTTCTCATATTATAAATGTGTCTATCATAGTGTGATTTGAAAGTGTTTAGTGATGTGCAATTGACAACATGTTCAGGCAGCTTGTTCCACTTATCTGTAACTCTAGTGTCAAACAAAGAATAATTTTAAAATTGTGACCACGAGTGTGATGAGCCCTCTGTGCAGGATGTGAAAGAGTAAAACTCCTAAGGCCCTCAAAGGTTACGATAACGATAAAAGTTTTTACACTAGGATGATTCGATAACAATTTATCGTGTATACGATGACAAATATTTTTAAAAATTAAATCACATGACATCATAATCATGGAAAAACGATAAAATCGTTGCTACTACTACGATTTTAATGTTTTTCCATGATTATGACGTCATCTGATTTGATTTGTCAAAATATGTTGTTATCGCATAACTGATAAATCGTTATCGAATCGTTCTAGTGTAAAAACTTCTTATTTCTTTTATTTTCTATATGAACAATTGCTTTTTAGCTCTTTTATCATTATCGTTATCGTTGAAGTATAAAACAGGCGTTTAGGGTTGCTATCACAAGGGCCTCAAAATGCTGGAAAAAGACAACATATCATATTTATTTGCTTTTTCATTGATTTGATATTGTCCTACTGTAGACACGTCAGCTACTGGAGGAACTGACTGAACTACCGGTCGTTGTTGAACTTGCTAGCGATTTTCTGGACAGGAGGACTCCAATTTTCAGAGATGACATATGTTTCTTCATCAGTCAATCTGGTTAGTATGTTTGCATGAAATACTTAATGTAGATAATGCATGTGATCACATAAATGATCACTGATTAAAAACATATAATTTTCAAAAATGATACTATCTTCTGCCAGACACCAGCCTGGTTTTTCGGAGCCAAGGTTTCAGGATTGTCTTTAAGTAAAGATAAAATACACATCATTATCTTATCCGCTTGCTCCTGAATGCATTAAAATTCTTAGGAGTGTCACTATTTCTAGGATGCCATGTAATAGGGACAAGAACTCAACCTTGTTTTCCATTTCTTTTATGATGTAACACATTTTATGGTAATATTTTAATAGCACTTCATCATCATGTCCTTTTGAAGTCTGTTTTCCCCGCACTTGAGGGTTAGACTGTCGAGAGGCTGTACAGTTAGCCTTAAGGTGGGTGTATCCTACAAGACCAGGTGGTGTATTCAGCATCAACTTCTGGATTGAGGTTTAACCTGCAGGGTTCCCCCTCACAACATCCCACCATGACTTAAGTGGCAGACATTATTATGGCGGTATGACTTAACTACGATATTTAACTAAAGGCATAACTATCATGTAAATATCCAGAAGCAATTGCCATAAGCTTTTTAATAATTTATTAAGTCCAGGCAAACAGTGAATGCTTATGGTCAGATATGTTAGGGTTCAGTTGCTCATATTCCGGCTTTTCTTGTCTTCCTTCTTTAGGTGAAACTGCTGACACATTGAATGCACTGCGTTACTGCAAAAAGCGAGGAGCTCTCACAATTGGTATTACAAATACTGTTGGTAGTTCCATCTCGCGCGAGACAAACTGTGGCGTTCACATCAACGCTGGTCCTGAGATCGGTGTTGCCAGTACAAAGGTGAGTAAAATTACAGTGAATTAGAAAGTAAGTATCTTAACAACCGAGCTTAAATTCAATTAAAAGATAATTAGAGAGAACTGGCATTCTGTATAAAATACATATCCTTATCTACTTATTTATTCATTATTTTAAAATTAATATTTACTAGCATTCACATCATAAATAAAATACTCAAAAAGTAATTATGTGACAAATGTAATGTACATTAGGATTATATGCTGTATAATAACCAGGAAAGGGATAACGGAAGTACAAAAACAATTTTTGTTATGAATTGTAAATTGTGTTTGGTAGACCATCTTTTTGTTTACTTTCTTTACTGTTCTTCTAGGCCTACACCAGTCAGTTTATCTCTCTAGTCATGTTTGGTCTGGTCATGAACCAGGATAAAATTTCCACAAGAAGCAGAAGAAATGAAATCATTGAAGCTCTAGAAAACCTACCAAGTAAGTGGTTGAAAATGGTTATATAGTTATTTATAATTATAGCTTTGCAGCGAAATTGATAGTTACTTATGGCATATAAATTTCCAATTGATTGAAAATTCAAATGATACGTCAGTAATATGTAACATACATATGTTGCATGTCACTATCAATTAAAAACTTTAATATACAATTATACATTCACAATTAAAAATATTGAAAATCTAAGGGGTTAAATTATACAAAACTAACTAATAATACAAATCCTTAATGCTTTATGTGGTGGAAACTGCAAATTGTTAATTTTATAGTTTTGGTAATTTATCAATTTAATGCCAAGAAACAATTAATATCAAAATAGAGATATAAAGTGCTTACCCAAACTTTATCACTATGACAAAAGCATGGATAATGTATGTATGTTTGTTAAATAAATTTAGAAAGTTTAAAGATAAGAATATTGTTCCAATTTTTAAGAAACATAAAGATATAAAAGATCTCACATGGATATTAATTGATAATGATGATGATGATGATGTTCATCAATGTTTTTCAAACCTGCTTATTGTTCAGCAAAATATACCAGTACATAAGCCCTATGATATTTGCCATTGTCAATATGACAATATTCAAGAGCTAACTTAAATACGATAACAAAATGTACACATGGGATAAATCTGGAAGTAGCTGTATACACAAATTGAATAAGCTACAGAAGTTGCGGTGTTTTTTCATAGGAAACATTTCTTGTTTTACTTTGAATTGTGTGATCATTAGTACAGTACAGCAAGAGGTCTGACTCTTGGTGTTTTGTTGGAATGCAAGTCCTATCTCAAAAGAAGTACTATCACGAACTAGAGGGCATCCTTCAAAAGAACCTGAAAGGCGTTTGTAAATAGGGTTTAATGTTTCATTACGTGCATACAAAATCAGAGCAGGCGAACCTCTTGCCATTCTATACTCTTTGCTCTGATAGATAATTCATGAGGAAAATTGATGCACTATGGAATTGGATACTTAGTATTTAAAACGGAAAAAGAACGAAATGTTGACATTAAAAACAAGTCTTTAAAGAGATATTTCAATGTTTAGGCGAGACTTTTTTTATTTCTTGTTTCACATACTTATTTTTTTAAAGATTATCGGAGGAGGGCGGAATAAAAGTAAAATTTTGTTTTCTTATTTAGCAAATAGATTTGCCGAAGTCATCCAGATGGAGGAGAAAAATTTAAAAAAATATTACTGGGGAATGTAAAATAGGATGGTAAAATGCTTCAAATTTATATAATTAGGAAGAAATATACATATCTTATCTTTGGAGATTTCATGGCATTGGAAGGCGTAATGAAAATAAAGAAAAACTTTTATTTTTTTCTGAAATTTCCACTTTTTCGTGGCAGTGGGTGCACTAATTAGGCAAAAATAAAATTTGATTTTTATTCGAAATCATCAATATTTGCAGTCGGTGGGTTCGTTATACAAGGTATAAAAAAAGTCTCGCCTTACAGTAATTAGCAAAAGATCGTATCTGTTGCCTGCTGTTGCTATAGCAAGGGTCTAGAGGCACTAGCCAGCTGCTCAGGCTAGGCCGCTGGATGTCCCCAGCGAAAAGTTGCAAGATGTTGATGGTGCTGTTGCAGAATCGACCTGATAAACTGGTGTATACTGTGATCCTTTAGTGAGTAATTCTTTAATGCTATTACACATTTTTTCTGGTACAGAACTCATTAAAGAAGTACTTGAAATGGATGAAGATATCAAGAAGCTAGCAGAAGATCTGTACAAGAAAAGAAGTATCTTGCTTATGGGACGTGGATTCAACTACGCAACATGCTTAGAGGGTGCTCTCGTAAGTCCCCACTGGGTCATTTCATGTCAGTCCAACTAAGAATTTCATTTGAACTTTACATTTAAAGGAATGATTGGAAACTACAAGGAATGGCCTTTGTTGATTAAGTGAGATACATGTTAGAAAACTTTGGGCTAAAATAGTAATACCTACTGGTCTCCCATTAATAAAAGATTTCTCAAATTAAAGACCACATTTATGTGGTCCCAATTTAACAAATATCTTTATTTTTATTCTAATTAGAGACCAAAGCTGCTAAAGACCATGGAAATCCCAGTCCCAAAAATGGTTTTATTGGAGGAAGACCTGTAATTTTTAAACATATATTTCTCTCTGTTTTGCATATGTTATTTGAATTTGTTTACAAGTTTATATTCTGGTATATGCAATGAGTAAAAACAGTAATATATTATATTATTCCTATAATCCGTGTCATCATGTTTCCCTGTAAATTTGGCTTATTGATCTAAGGATGTTATTCTGTTTCTTTTTACCTTTTTTCCACCAGAAAATTAAAGAGCTGACTTACCTGCACTCTGAAGGTATTCTTGCTGGAGAGTTAAAGCATGGACCCCTAGCCCTGGTGGACCAAGACATGCCAGTCGTCATGATCATTATGAAGGACTCAATGTATACTGTACGTAACCATAATATGCTAGTTACGGTCGTAATGACCACATTTCCAAAGTTCAGCTACATTGAGAAGCATAGGGATCTCTCTACCACAATGGACTTTTCCACTAAGCCCTGTCCCGCCCCTTGGATGTTCTTGCTAAGGTCCCACAAAAAGACATTTTGTGAGCGGTAAGGCAGGGGCACCGCTAGCTACAGCCTTAACATCGGCGCTGGTTCCAGCCGCTCCTCGCCCATGGTTCGGTTGGTAGAACCAAGTCTTCTCGGATAAGGACTTAAAATGGAGGTCCAGTGTATACATCTGGCTTGTGTGCACTTTAAAGAACCCATTGCACCTGTCTCTTATACACATCTAGATGTGTATAAGAGACAGCCCTGTTGTTGTGGAATGATGTGAACATGTATCTACCAAGAAGCGCCTCTTTACGGCTGCTAGGTAGTCACGGACCACGCCCATACGCAATTCAGCACAATGACGCTGCAAGTTATGGGTTATTCTCCTACTTTTACCTACCTTTACATTAGGGAGCTTTTGATTGCACGATGACGGTAGGATGTAGAGCATAATAAAGTCGCTAGAAGTCATCTGCGCATGCGAGAACGTTAAGGTCACCTTGTGATGTAGATTCTGGAACACAATTTGGCCAAATCTACGTATGCAGAGAACGTAGGAAGCCAGGTAGGACGGTCACGCACGAGTGATTCCGTTGTAGCGTCGCGTCGCACAAATCGAAAGATCTCTAGTGTGAAAAATATATACGCAACATAAGCGTTTGTGGGATAACAGGTGTGTTTGTGGGACACGCATGTATTTCTGGCCCATTTCTGATTTGTCACTCTGGAAAAGGCCATTATGTAGGTAGTCTTCATGTTGAGAGATACTGGATGACATCATTTGGAAAGAATATCAATTCATTAATATTCATGAGCAAATATATTAATATACAGTACATTAGCATTTCAAATTACAATATATAATTTTTAAAATATGTTTGTTTTCTTTTGTTTCAGAAATGCCAAAATGCACTACATGAAGTCACTGCCAGAGGGGTAAGCATAACAATTAGAAAAGCATACTGAAAAATAAATGATATAATACTTAAGGAAGTATAGGATTAGTTTTTGAAAACAATAAAACATGATACACTTGGGGAAATATAGAAGTAGTTCTTATCTTTATAACTTAAAATGTCATCAGCAGTATTTTTCTGAGATGATGAAATTAATTGGGTGTTACATACTCTATTGTAATCTGTGGTTTTTTTTTTTCAGTGCTCTCCAATTTTGATCTGCCAAAAGGGTGATAAAGAATCGCAGGCTAAGGCGTCGCATGTCATTGAACTGCCTGGCACCGTTGATTGTCTGCAGGGAATTCTCTGCGTGATTCCTCTTCAGCTCCTTGCATTCCACACAGCTGTTCTCCGAGGATACAATGTAAGCCACTCACTCTGATTTTTATAACTACAGTAACATCTCCCAATTATGATTTTACAAACCCAAATTGCAGCGATGACATCGTTCTGAACGATCGTTTTTAACTATATAAACACTTAAAATTGTATTCAGAAAGTCTTTAAAAATAATATAAAATGTTACATCAGCTAAGAAAGAAAACGTTTAAACCAATAATATTGATTGTTTTCAGCTGAGATATATTACATTTGAGCTGTGCATGCTTGTTCAGGCATACCTGTACAGTAAATCTCAGCGATTTTTATAAAGAGAAAAATAACCTTGTTTTGGCCATTATTTGGCCATATTTTCATTTGGAAATCACTTCAAATGAATACTTCACAGTGAGCACATGTAATTTTGGCTTCTGTAAAGTATTGTTTTGTTGCAGAAAACAGTACAATCGAAATCATTTTTCATGACAAAATTTTGCTCCCATGGCACGGCTTAGGCCTACCTCTAGCCCTGTCCTTTGTGGCATAAGCCTACCCTCACTACACTGAGATACTAAGAAACTTTAAACTCTCTCAATTACGTGATGAAAACAAGTGATGGTAGTATGATCAAGGTGATGATGGTGAAGCGACGAGGTGATAGTAGTGAATGTGTTGACCGTTGATGATAATTGTGGTGATGGGTAAAATGTGGTGGTGGTGGGCGTCATAATTTAGAATAGAGTGGTGGTGTTAATAATGACTATACACAATACTGTATATTGCAATTACCATCATTGTTTCATTGCCCAAGCACAACATGAATTTGAAATTGGATCTAAACAATACATCAAACTCAAACTTGCTAACCAAGAAATTATCAAGGATTAATTTTTTTTTTCTTTCACCAGGTTGATTATCCACGAAATCTTGCAAAATCTGTGACGGTAGAATAAACGAGGTACATCGTACAGTATTACATAGCCTATAAGGAGGTAGGCCTGATGGTATCTTGTAATAGCCAGCCGCAATCTGAAGGATGATTTATGACAAAAGAGGTGCTGTACATATTAAAATAAATACAATACTTATTTACATATTGGATTTAATTTCCATGATACCATGGATTGGCATTTTTTTTATCAAAATTATTGATACTTATCCCTCATGAATATTTGATACTCCAACAGTTACCACTGCTTCTGTTTTAAGGTCAATACAAGGGTAAAAGGTCACAGCATCTTAAATTTAATGGTGTATCTTAAAGATATCTGCAATGTTTGAAAGTATAAAATGAAAGGTCATGTTTTATATGGCAATGCTGATTGGTTGGTTATGTCATGTGATGTAATTTCCCTTATTGGGGTCAAGTATTATGAATTCTATTTGGACAAATTTTCAATTTTGTAGTATTAGGAAAAATATTCATTTTTGATATAATTTATTTATTTAGCAATTCGCTTAGCTACTACTTGAATCAAATCGTTTAATGATTTGAAAATTTATATACCAAATTGGTACAAGAATTGTACAATTAGGGAACTGGGTGACCTATCCTAAATTTTTAGGAACTCAAGGAATATATAGTCTTGTTTATTGTACAGGTCAATGATTTATAAAATCAATACATATTTTCTTTCTGATTTCTTCGAATAATTGTAGTTATTTAAGAATATATCAGCTTTTAATAAGAATATATATTATTGGTACTGATGAAATTTTTATAGAAAATTGATTGAAGTTGATGTATATGGTTTTTTTTTTCACAACCAATTTTGAGATTTTCTTAATCATATTATTGGTCTTCCAATACTGTATTTGCACATATATAAATCTAGAGGTGGCAAAAGGGGTCTAGCTTCCCTATGAGCACTCCTCTTGTATTGTCCTGTGAAAAAGACAAATTATCTTGAATATAAAACTAATGAATTTTCAAATAAGTTAAGTTAAGTTAAATAAGTTTTATATTTTTAAGCACAATAAATCTTCAAATTGATTGGGACCAAAATATTTTTGCAGGCTTTGAGTCGTCTCGACCATTGCACAGTTTACAGTACTATCATAAGGAGTACAAATTCATATTTGCTTTTATCACTGTACTATCAATGCTCCCTGTCAGCTGGTCATAGGTTGCATCATGTGCAGAAAAATAAAATTGTTGTTTTAGAATTAAATCTCATTAAACCAGGGTTGGCCTGGGTTACTCTATGCAGAGAAAAAAGTTAATGCCAGGCTCTGGAGGGTAACAAATTATGTTATGTTGTACAAATGAAGCTCTGTCTTGGAAATGTGATATGGTTAATAATATTACATGGCTAATAAGTTACAGGTTTTTGAATATTGTTGTAAAACGGGTATTATTTCCCCCTCCAGAGCCTAGTTCTTGGGGGAACTGTGTGTATTTAATGATCATTCTGTATTTATTTACATAAATAATAAATAATTTTAAATGCAGAAGAAACCAAATCAGTTATTCAATTCTTCAATTTATTAAAATAATGCGATATGAGCCAACATCACCTTGTGCAAATTCATTAGCAAGTTCTATATCGAAGACAATTAATTTGGGACTATATATGCTAATTATCTATGACATAACAAAACCTGCAGTAGAGTAAAATACCGTTAATAGTGTTTGTTTCCGAAGGGTCAGACCACTTTCTGCGATGACGGATTCTAAGTTGGCTTCATGTCCCAGATGAATGAAATCAATTTAATTACGCATGGGCATATGCGAACTATCCCAGATTACTAGTCTCGGACATTATTGCTATTAGTTCACATCAAGCCAAGCATACAAATACACCATCAACAGATGTTTGATTGGAGTGATGACATACATCATCTAGATTTCAACAGACATAGGAAGACATTAATTGATCAGATATCTTAAACAAGCTTATAATAAGTCAAATCAAACATCTTTTTAACCTAATAGATGGAACTTTCTATTGACTATGATTGATCAAGTATGCATGGTTTTACCCTGTAGGTTTTTAAATTTATATTTATTACAGTTTCATTTGCTATCAATTAAAATGCTATGAATTAAAATGTTGTCATTTACAGTATTTTAATTATGTAAAATGAATTGTTAAAATGGTAGTACTGAACAAAATGAATTCTGGATTTCAATATGTGTATGAAGTGGGTACAATATTATCATGTCTTCATAAAAAAAATTTAATTAAAATAATATTGAACTACATACTAGAGTGTGATCATTTTTATTCTGTTTTCGCAATACTGTAAAACATGTTAGCAGCATTTATGATTAGGTGAATACACTACAGAACAGGTTGTTAAACAGAAAAACAAACATATTATATTGTAGTAATACACATACAGCTACATTGTTACATCTACTAATCCGAGCAAGTCCCTTTTCACACGGTATATTATTATATTATAAAAGTAATTTCAGTAGAATTTTCATCATAATTGTTGAGTAGAGAATATCATTTGTGCGATTTTTCTATTCAAAATCTGGTTTATCATTGATTGAGGTTCCTGATTGTTTGATGACATAGTTAGCAGCATAGTTGGCACACTTTATACACTGTTCAATATCCTTTCCTTGTACCAGCTGTGCTAGAAATCCTGTGAAAAGAATTTAAAATGCATAAATTATAATGAATGTAATTTATAGCCAAATCTGATAATATTCCTTCATTATGGTTTATTATGGCCAAGTATTGAAAAATGTATTGACCATCAACTTTACCTCCAACGAATGCATCCCCAGCCCCGTTTGTGTCCACAATGTCCTTATCTGCAATTTTTATGACCGGGTATTCCTTCAACTCTCCTTCTATGAAAAGAAGAAAAATTACTCAAAAATTATTAGCAATACATTTAATAAGGCATTTACTTTTTTTTTTGTTAACACTACAGTACTGAATAGCATATTCCGCTAAACAGCACATGCAAGTCATCCTTCTGTGCCAGCATATTAACAAAAAATGCTAAAAATGGCCTATAAAATCCCATCTTCCAAGGTGCCAGTGGTCTTTGTAACCATCATGTTGTCACTTCCAGACCTCTCACTAACATCCCTGTCAGAGAGCTTATCCCTCCAGGGGTGGTGCCAGTGGGGCTCCGTAGGGGAGAAAAAACACAATTCGGCAGAGAAAAAAATGTATGTATTTTCTACGTATTTGTAGACTAAAATTGATTAAATAAGCCTTCAAAACTCCTAAATTGTCCTATTTATCAAGGGGAGGGGGGGCTTCCTCTCCTGAAACACATTCAGATCCCCGTTGGGCAAATCCTGGTGCCACCCCGTATCCATCCCCGCCCCCTCGGTAAAATCCTTGTACCACACTACTCCACCACATCTGGCAAAACAGCCAATTGGTGCATGTTACAAAGAATTATTCATCAGACAACATTAAATCATAATAGAACTGCAATTGTATGTGGAAACCTGGTTGTGGTGTGGATAGCATACCTTTACAGACAAGCGTGTTGTCTGCTCCCTGAGTAATAACAACTACTCTGGCTTGCTCGGATATTTTTTTCTCTGCCGCAATTTTTTTGACAATTTCTTTCAAATCTTCTGTCTATAATGTATTTCAAAAAGTAATTATTTAAAATTGAATTTCACAAACTGAACAATGCATAGATCAACTATCCAAAATGGTGTATTCTAGTCTAATTAAAATATTTACAACATATCTATCAATATTTATTTGATTCTACAATATTTATTTTGATGCTAACTATATAAATATTCTCCAAAAAAATTTTTAACTTGAAACTCGCCTCGTAGTTTTGGTCCTTGGCAAATTGGAGAGCTTCCTGAAAAGATGAAAGAAAAAAAAAAGATGAAAAGAATCCTAGTAAATACCAGGAGGATTAAATGAATAAAATGGTAAATACAAAAAAAAAAAAAAAAAAATACCAGGAGGATTGAACCCAGGTCCCATGGATGACATACATATTCCTGGCCCTGTTTTGATTGGTCAGCTGTATGATTGACATCCTACAATAAAAACATCAGCATGACCACAAAGCAACAGCTACACTTTACTAATCATGCTGTTGTAATTTGCCCCATTGAATATTAGTATTTTCTTAGATTTAACACAAACTGATACAATGAACCTTTCCAAAGCATCAAACTTAACAAACCAATCAGAACATCGTTAGAAATATGCGCGTCCTACAAATACACATACCATGAACGCATGTGTGTAGTTGTTTGTGGGACCTTGGCAATAACATCCAAGGGACGGGATCCATTACTAACGAATTTCTAAATGCACAAACAGTACCCACTTGTCATGTTTTTAAGCTTCAGATTCTCCTCAACTGACTTCCTTTATTTATTTATTCCTTTATTCATTACCAGAATTATTACTATTCTGACATCTTTTCCTACAGTTAATAATAGGCTTCAGACGGCACACACCATTTGTAGATATGTAAATACAAATGAGCCTTTGGTTTTTGTTTGTCTCAAACGTTTGGTGAGTTTATTCAATGAGAACTCTTCTGAAGACAGAAAAATCTCACAAAAAACATACAAAAAAAAACAGTCCTCAAACACAAGGTGTACTAAAAGTCTACATACTGTAATTACCATGCAAACCTTATTAAATATTACAATCACCTTAAGGCTATTTTCCAATTATCAAATTTATTCGTGTGAATTGAAACAGTGGGTTTGCTTAATGAGCTCCAATTTGTTGCACATTGTTTCGCTTCGCAAAAAGTAGAAATAGTTCAAACTACAGTACTGATTTTGCTGAGATGTGAATATGCTTGCACATAAACCAATGCTTTCGATTAGCACGAATAATTCGCCAAATGGAAAATAGCCGTTAGTCATTGTTATCCTTATCGATATTATGAGTACAAATTGTGAAGAGCATACTGACTTACAGTTTCATTTCCAAACATAAAGTCAACGTAAGGTAGAATTTCCATCATTGGGTCCTTGAAGAACTGGCTGAGAAATGGTGCTGATAAGTTTAGACAGTATGTCTTCTTGTTCTCAAAAGCATGCTTTGCTATTTTCAACATGGCTTTTGGGTTTACTGTTAAATGGAACCCCTAGAAAGAAAAACATTCATCCATCCATCAGTCAATCATTCAATCAATTGCAGTAAAAGTATACAAATCACTACACTTAAGGTATACAGATATGGGATTGATTGCAACTTTTAGCAATTGAGTGGGGTATTTTTTTGGTTATTTCTTGATACTGTATTATCTTCTTTTGTTTTGTTTCTTCAACATGTTTCGTTACTTACTGCACTGTAGTAGAATGAAGCTTTTTCAACGTATGCCCAGTTTTCTGTTTTTTCAAGATGTTCAATTGTATAGCAATTAGCAGCAGCAAGATTGGCACATAGAGACCTACAAAGAAAATCAAAATAATGTACAAAATATATTGTTCGTATTTTTAACTTAAGGTCAAATATATGCATCAAATACATTCCTTCATGTAAACAAATTATTCTATTAATAATCTTTGCCGATTATAATCTTGGCAACAATAACACATTCTTTACTTTTGTTGGTGTAAACATATTTTTGTGTAAAGAATCTTTGCTTGTTATACTTCTACTAGTTTGGTTAAGACACCACAACAAATAGGCTCCCTGCTGTAACGTGTTATAATTCACTTGAATAACTGTACGAGTAACAGATTGTTGACTTTTAGTTCTTTCTAGGATAGTTCTTATCTAGGCATGGCATCATATTTCGTAGACTTATTTTCTATCATTAGCTTACAATGCATCCCATCATTCCTTCAACCGGATTTACTTTTACAACTTAAAAGTGAGATGATAGCTAAGTGCCTACAGCCACCCCCCCCCCCCCCCCCCCCCCCCCCCCCCCCCTCCACAATTCCTGGGGCAGTAGACACAACAACTAAACTTATATGTTTTTCGGGCACAAAATATCCCAATATTTCTCATAGCAAACAGAATTCCCTGAAGTTCTGTCACACCATCATATTTTGCGACAAATACCTGTGAAATGCCATATATGGGTCTGACATGATATTCATTATGCCTATATATGGTTGTATGACGACATTATCCTGCACATATATTGGCACATTACACAAAGTTGATAGCGTCAACAGAGCTTAAGCATAATTAACAGCATCAATGGTTACAAGTAAAAAGCTTTGTCCGTCAGATATGTGTAATATGTGCGCTATCTAAGTTTTATGTTAAATAATATAGGGTACTACCAAAACATTTGTACTTCGAGTGTGACAGCTTGAAATTGTTAATTTTGTTCATTTCAATGTGTTTGGCTTTCAGCTGAAAATTATAACGAGAAGCATTTTTCTCTTCAATTTAATATGTCCATATCATTGCATAACATATTGAACAACGTTCTGCAACCTACTCTAATGGTGGTCGCGACCCAGTGTCTGAGCCACGGAATAAAATTATGAGGGTCGCATAATCTCTTCAGATTGTGAAAAAAAACTTATGAACAAGGACAAACTAAATTAAATTACAGTTACAGTCCAATTAAAGTGCGGCATATGCATCAGTTTACTTTTGTAATGTGTGTGTTATTAGAGTTTCATGTTGAAAAATATACTATCAGAACTTTACTTCTGGTATGACAGCTTGAAAGTGTTTGTTTTGTTTATTTCAATGTGTTTGGCTTCTCTTCAATTTAGTGTGACTATGTTTTTGCATAACCCATAAATTTCTGGCACCAAAATTTAGGATTTTATGTAAAGTAAAATGTCTGTAAATCATTAATTTTTAAGCATCTGTATATTTAAAAATGTGATGGTTTTGTTAATTGAGTAATTCGAGTTATACTTTTATTTTTAGGGGAATTTATCTTTAATAGTATCTTTTATAGATTGCTAAAGAATCAAGTGGGTGTTGCTAAAGAATCAAGTGGGTGTTTTTCTGATACTCACTTTCTCTAACACTTATAAAACAACAGATGCAATTTATTGACTTAATTCACTCAAACTAAAGCAATATATAATACCATATTCAATCATTTTACCAAGAAATTCAGGTGAGAAATTTGCCTTAAGTTCGATGGGTGACGTCTGAGTGCTTGACATATAATCTGGGTTGTGTGCTATAAAGGTTGCGGAACGGTGGTCTAGACCATTTAAATAAATAATTAATTTAGGAAGTAACATGATTACCTGTTGCTTCCTGTAATGAGAACAGCGCAGGTACCAGTGGCTTCCTCCTCGTTAATATCATAATGAACATTCACTCCATCCTCCTTTGCCTTCTCAAGTAGTGTCTTAGCAAAATCATCTTTACCAACACATCCAAAGAATGTAGCACGATTGGGTTCACCTATAATCCACTGCAAATAGATCCACGATTTAAGATCACGGTTGGAAAAGAGTATGAAATTGTCTTCTGGACAAGGTTTGTCTGCTTTTGTGTTTGTTTTAACATGCAATAAAATCAATTGGCTAAAGCTTGGTTTCCATAAAATCGCTACACACTATCAGAGACAGCTTTCGGTGATGCCGATTGATTGGTCAAATCGGGGAGCCTTTACGAGCATTACAGAGACGCAGAATTAGAATGATTGCACTGAAAAAACTAGCGACAGTGCAGTGATATTAAGGAAACCAGACTTCACATGAGACCAAAGTGACAGAGACCTTCTCCATAAACGTAGGGCCTAATAATTTAATTTATTCAATTGCAAGTGAATAATTTTGAATAAAATTTGGTGTTGCTGACTTAGAAGACGAGTATTTTAGCATGAATCACACCAAGAATAACCCACTAAGTCTAAAGACTTGTTTACAGTGGGTGCCGTCTGAATTGGGCAGAACACAGGAAGAGTGTAACTGCGTTCGTTCACATACAAATGGGGCCATAATGCCCATGGGAACAAAGGCTTAAAAGTCTTATCGAAAAGACGGTGCACTGTCATAATTCAGACCACCAGCAAAAAAACAAAAGGGGAGCAGCAGATGGAAATGAACCAGAGGCCAAATGATCCCCATGGTTCAGCGCACACAGTGGCTAAGCTGCTCTCTAGCTGCAGATAAATGTAGCAATTAAATAAGAAACTAAAATAAACTTTAATCTTGTTTGAGCAAAAGGGATAGCTTCAATGTCACCTGTGCAACCCTCAAGGAATTCAGTGTAGCTCCGCCAGGTATGTAGTCCACTTTGAATTTTTTGACGAGTTCAATGTACATTGGTTTGTGAATATCTTCTGCAAGAATTGCATTGTCTGCCTTAAGCTCATACCTGTGATTAAGGTCAAAACCATGTTTTATTTTATTATACATTTTGTTTTATAATAAATAACAATCTTCTCATCAGAAAACATACAATACATCAGTACCTGTACATCAAAGAGTAACCTAATGTTATAAATTCCCAATATTGGAAATGTTTTACATTTTCTGTTGTTTGTGAAAATGACTTACAGATACCATATATGACGCTATAACTCCCTGTTTTTCTTTTATTTCTCCTTGCAAATGATTATGATGCACACACACTACCCGTTTTTGCTTGTTTTATCTTATTGGTCAAGCCATTTTCTACTTCTTTAACTCCATTCCTGACTAAATGCAATTTACAATACTGTTGTTTTGCCCTGCCTTGTTCTGCATGATTTCATTGACAGACACAAAAATACAATGCAAATGCATTGGATTCTTCCCAGCATTGTTAACTGGCACAAATTTGATATAAAAGTCTTACTTTTAACGGTTAATTTTTAAACTTGTTCATACTTATCAAGGAATTCCTGAGTAACTGGAGTTGAGATGTCTAGAAGAGGATTGCCAAGACCAAACAAAATTCCTTCACTGTCAAGAGAAATATTATCCACAATGTGACTATCATTCAAAAATTGCAGTTGCAGTGAGGCACTTAATTGCAGAATTTTTTTTACAATATAGTGTACGTTAAAAATCAATACAGTACATTAAGTTAAAATGCAATACAACTGAAATTAGCACATTCAGTGTACATGACCAAAAGTCTACCCTAAGTATGATATTATTAAATGCATGCGATATTATTAAACCAAAGAAAGAAAAAAATAAACAGTATCTTGATGACTTAAATCAAGGAATCAAGAAATATTTAAATCATGCAGGCCCGTAACCAGGGAACTTGGGGGGGGGTTTCGGTCATACCCCTTCCCCCTTCTTTTTGAAGAACTTACTACATAGTGGTGTTTCATCATGACCTTTTTCTATTAAAGAAACACTTCTGATTTAAAACTTGGCCTATAGGAAACCCCCACCCCCTCCCCATGAACCTGGTTACAGGTCTGTCATGATTAATATCAGCGATTTTCAAACTCTGGGTTGCAACCAGATAGTGTCAACTAAATTACAGGGTTGTGAGATTCTAGGATTTTTTTTTTTTTATTTGAATTTTATATCAGGCTAAAATTTGATGCAGTAAATAGAGCACATTTTAAAAATTATTTAAAAATTTAACTTTAATTTTGTCCAACTGGTCAATAACCCATTTTTAATATCTACTTTTAATGTCACAGGAAGCGGGTCATGGCAAATTGCCTGGACATTTGTTTAAATAACGTTTGTGAATCACTGACGTACATCACCATTATCATGCAAATCCTATCAACCATGGTATACCAAAATTATTCAATCTAAAATTGTGAAATTCATACAATAATCAACATCTGTTTAAAGCCAGGCCGGCTGTGGAGGAAAATGATACAGATTTTTTTAATATTTAAAAACTGTATCTTATACAGTAACTGTTCCCCAGTATTCCACGTCAAACACCATTTTTGTGTTTTAGAAAAATCAGTTTTACGGCATACCATACAATCATTTTCCTCCACAGCCGGCCTGGCTTTAAACAGCTGGCATTACGTCACCATCACTGGCACTTCATTGGGTGATGGTGACGTAATGCCATTTACCGTACCTTTAGCAAAACGAAGTAGAAATACGGTACCGTATCTCTAGCCACGGCGTTTTATTTAGGAAAGGTCTAGGATTTCTTTAGAGGAGACATTACAGCAGGCCAAATTGTTCTAAATTTATTTTAGTAAGTTTACTAAGGGGAGGGTACTAAATCTGCCACAGCTCTCATTAGTATCATTTAAAAAATGCAATGCTCCTTTAAAATTTAAGCTTTGCAATGGTTGGACCTGCCCCTTTATCTTCAGTGACATGAAATTATTTGAACTTAGTGTATAATTAAATTGTAAGTATTCTGGAACCTCAATTGAAGGTGACAGTTATAAAATACATATGAAAAACAGAAAGACATTAACTGGTGATAAATATTCCTCCATTTCTAAATTTATGAGGTACCAGCAGCTCTATTCTTAGGCATTCAATGGCCTATTATTAATCACTCCATCAATTTCTATTTCAACTTGTGTTATAAATTTTCAAGAAATATCCAGTTTTAACTAGAACCAAATACCATCTGGAATACAAAGTAGGAGTTGAGCTTGCCCCTTGAACTGTCTGAAGTCGCTACTAGTATGTAATACATAGCCATTTATGACACTAATGTACATAAAGAATACGTAGGATATTACAAGTAATGTTCTGTTGCCAATGAAAATCAATCGTTAGAGTATAGAATACGGTACGACGACAACGTGTACTCTACTCAAATTAGCACGAACTTCGCCCACACACATGGTGTAGATAGTAGGCCTACTACTGCGAATATTGATTAGGCTCATGTTAAACCTCTGGCCTACGGCCTAAGTAACCACAGAAGTACAAAAATCCAACGTACCTTATCATGATCCACTTAGTACTAAATAAATAAAGTTAAATTACTGCCAACGAAGCCAAATCAGCCGCCCCTTCGACCATGCGCAATGAATGAACTGCCTGGGAGTTTCCCCGAGTCTCGCCGAGTCTGCGTACCTGGAATTTTTTTTGGATCGAACGATTGTGTGTACGGGTGAACGCAATGAACGGAAATATTACGTGGATTATCGTAAATTTCATATCAAGTACTGTTTAGTTTAGACATCACTATAAAAATGAATGAATATGAAGACAAGGCTGGCGTGCTAAGAAAGCAGGGATATCAAAATTTGCCAAGTCACTGCCGCACACAATGATACGCCAATAGGCCCTAGCTAGGTACAATTATTCAACAAACAAAGAGCGCCACTGGCATAATGTAATTAATTTAGTAAACCAAATTTGATACGCGCCATGCCTACAGGATTACAACTGAATATTGCTTTTTTGACAATATTTATTCCATTAAAATGTCTCACTCTCTGTACTGAACGTCTGGCAACGGAAATGTCGTTCGGAGCCCTATTTGGGGAAAACCCCAATTGAAAAGACGAGATTGCACTGTAGTTTCGTTAAACACCGATGAAAATGGTGAATAGGCCTATACGAACTGTATAACTACAATCATCTAGAAGAAAACGTCTGAAACTTCAAAGTGTGAATTAGGCCTCTATAGGCTTTACAACCAAATTTAATCTCTATGGTTTAATTTGTACGATATTAAATTATTTCATTACCTATATCATATTCCAAAATGTAAGTTTATATTCCTTATCCAGTTTGTGAATTCATTCAGAGGAATTATATACAAAATCATATCCAGCAAATGGAAAGAAAATTTCATTTATGCATTTTTCTGCACGAGTGGCCTGATTTCTTAGTTTTTAAGCTTGTGAAATATACGTATGGTTTTCACCATTTTATAAATCATTACGAATTTCTGTAATATTGATAACTGATCACATAAAATCATAGTAGCAAATCCTAGATTTAGTATTTCGTTGGACCGCACTCAATGGCCCCATGGAACATTTATGTGTGGTGCGGAAGGCTTGGGGTAGGGACTAATCAAAGTTTGCCTCATGAATAATTAAAATATGCAACAAGTGAAATTATATTTTATTTATTTATTTTATTCATTCCAAAACAAACAACAGCGAAAATTAATCGCCACTTACAGGCTTGTAAAAAATAAGCCTATCTAACAGACAAGTTATATAAAAACGATGACAAAAATACAAATAAAAGGGAAAAATTATTCAAAAATATTGCACATTTCCATTATAACTTCCTTAGTTGCCAACATAAAAAAAAAACCGGATTTTTTTGGATGCATTTAAATTTGTATCTACAAAACATGTGAATGTCATTGTGTGAAAGAACAATGACACATTTTGTGCATATGAAACACTTTATTTTACCTCAGGATTTTCTTCAAACCAGGGAGGTTTAATTGTACACATCACTATCTAGGTAAAGCCAAGTTTATGCATAATTTTAAAAGTCTGAACTTACAATTAAAAGTATAAGCCAAATGATAAATAATTAGGCCATGTAAAATAAAATAATTGGTTAGTATCCCCTCCCTACCATCACAGTGCTAAAGTTTCTGCTTGCTATAGAGATGAATATATAACTTATTGTATGCAATTTTGGTCTCTGTTGTTTTCTTCTTCATTTTTTTTGCTGTTTTTTTCTTGCAACACTCCTTTTTCATGTTAAACACGAGAAACTACTATGATGAAAATTGATAACATAAGGATGCTAACCAATTTTTTTAAAATTTTACATGGTCTTTATGAAAGTCTAAACTTCAAAAAAGAAGTCTGTAACATTCAGTGCTAACAGTACAGTACAGTAATATAAAATTTAAAAAAAAAATGCATTTAAAAATCTTATGGAAGGAAAATGTGCTTTATCATCATACGTAACTGCAGCTGCTGCTGTATACTTCTCCCTCCTACCTACAGTAACCTAACGACTAAAACCATGGAGAAAATAAAATAGAAACAATACACGGTCGGTACACTAAATTTAAACAGTACAGTATTTGAATCTTAATCACTTCCTTGTTGGTCTTGGGTTTAACAGATCTTGAGCCATAAACTTCGTTCTTAGTAACATAAAGCTACTTTTGTAGCTCAACATACCTAATTTTTTCTTCTCCATTGTGTTTCCCTTTGTGTCTCTTCCGCGGAGGTTGTTCTGAATCAGACATTTTCAATAGTTTATGTCAGAAATTATTAACTGTCGTTAACACTCCGGCGGTGTGTGAGAGAGAGAGGAAGCTTCTCTGTACGTCAATGATATGGCGGCCATGGCCACCGCGCGTGGGGTTTCCAGCCTAGCCTTCTATTAATCGTCAGCTTGTGTTAAAGAAGCACGGATTTGTCTGGATTATCGAGTCTAAAAAATAAACAAACGCCCTCTCAATAATCAACATTTACAAGCAGCAGCACGACATAGCAACAGGACGCATTAAAAAAGACTGACGAACAAAAACTTTGGTAAATAAACATTGAATTGTAATTTATTATAACATTTTTAAATACTCTGTTTCTTGGTGAATAACCAAGCTAATTAAAAATCATTATTTAGTTTTTGACCTGCTGCTCGTCCGATACTAATAGGTGTCCGATACCGTATGACGACAGCAATCCGCGGAGCATGCAGGCAGGGCGGTCTCGCACTCGGCGGGCTAAATATTAGAAGGAGGGCCTAAGCCTAGACTAGGGCCTATTTTACTTTTACTATTATTGTTGATTGGCTTTAGATACTCGCTCGTTTGGCCCTCATCTTTGGTAGGGCCCTCAGTCTGTCTGCACACGCCTTTTCCAAGGACAAGGCTATACGCACAACGGCTAGGTATGTATAATAAGGACAGAACATATCTTATTCTTATTCTTAGGCCACGAAAGTTGTAGGTTTGCGTCCGAAAAATTTTGAAAACACATGAGGCATTTTTTCATTTTTCATTATTCATTATTTTTTTTATAAATGCTGTCCACATGCCGCGGCATTGGTAATTTTACATTTATTCTCAAGAAACAATGCTTACAGTCATAAATGTACACTAGCCTATAAAACAGATCCTTTTCTATATTTAAGACCTCTTTAAACATACAAGATTTCCTATTAGTCAGAAAGATCGATTTGACCCGTAAATGACCTCAGCAGTGATCGGCGATCATGGTGCGATGTGCCTTTGCTCGGTGTTCGCTACGAGTGATCAGTGATGAATAGTTCGTTTTTCTGTCTGTTTACGAATTAGAAAGTCCGTTTTTTAAAACGAAGTATATTTTTTTTCAAAATAATGAACTTTTCAAAATAATGAAAATTTTCGTGCGGTAGCTTTTTAGGCATGCGGGCGGTGGACGCAAACCTACAACTTTCATTCCCGTGGCCTTATACGCACAGCGGTTGTGTATAAAATGGCCTTATAACGGATCTTATACTCACAGCGGCTGTGTAAGGTACAAAACTAATCTTAAATGTACAGCAGCTGTGTATATAATGGACTTCACGGATCTTATATGCACAGTGGCTGTGTGTATAATTGACAGAATGGATCTTGTATTATCGGTTCCTGGAACAGTAATGATACGAAAGTACTATGATACTTGTAATGCAGGCCTATTTTAATACACTATTTAGATAGGCTCTTCTTTTTCCATCTTGATTTCAGAGGTCAAAAACATTTTTTTTTTCAATCATATAGAGGTCTTTTGAGAACATTTTCTAGAAAAAAAGAGGTATGAATTTTTTGATAACATGAGGACAAAAATTTAGTCTCAAAGCTTATTTTATTTCTGTTCGTTACGCAATACTTTAGTTTTTTGTCATCACTTCAAGATGCCTACCAATTCATGGAAAAGGCGTAGGATTCCAATAATAAAAACGGTTTTTCTCTACACTTACACTTACAGAATAATGGGTTTTAATATAAGGCTTTAGACTTTTATGCCCCATTTTTAATGCCTATGAAACCAATTTGGTAGAAGGACGATTTCCTGATGCAGGGCCTAGTCAGTGAACATCATGATGTTTTTTAAAAGACAAAACCGATGTAGCTTCCACCACTTATGCTGGTAGTTTATTCCAACCAAGTGTCTACGATTTGCTGAGAAAAGATATTTCATAATATTTAAATTCTTGTACTACTACTAAGTAGGGCAAGGGTAGGCTTTGTTTTGAATACTTTACAAAGAGCAGCTTGCTTGTCCTCAGTTATTTTTTTTTTTAAAGTATACCATAATTATGTTAATAATGCCTTTTTTCAGCAATGGACACAGAATATTTGAAGAAACATGTTGGAAATTGCTTAGCTCGAGGCTTAGCCGAGATTGCGGAGAAGCGACCTGTAGACCCTATTGAATATCTTGCCAATTGGCTGTATAAGTTCAAGATTAATGAAAGAAATGAGAAAGAAGAAGCTGAGAAGGCTGTTCAGTTAATTAAAGAAAGGGAAGAAGCACAGCTTGAGAAAGAACAGCAAGAAAAAATGAGGCTGGAAGCAGAAAGACTAGCAGAGGAAGAAGCACAAGCAAAAAAAGTAAATAATAATAATAATAATAATAACAATAACAATAATAATAATAATAATATATTATATCTCGGTATCTATAATATTCAGTATCAAATACAATATGAATGACCCTTCTGCCCCATCTGAGATGGTGCTAACAACGGCCAGCCAGAACGTAGAACCACTATTAAGGGAACACCTTCGGGACCAAAAAAAGTAACCCTTAATAACGGTGTCCCCTGAATAGGGGTTGTCTTTAATGTTAAGAGATAATATAGGGCCTGGTGTCCCTCATTTTGAGGCTGAAAGAGTGTCCTCTTAAGGGGTTTCCAAAAGGAGGGGTTCTACTGTATATGAAAATAAAAAAATTACTAAGTGGGGCATAATAAAATTCCTTGGCCACCAATGGCTGAATTGAGGAAAATTTGTACGGACCATACTCAATATGTGTTTATTTTATTTTTTTGAAAAAATATTTTACATTAACATTGTATAAAACAGTGAGTAAACAATACAAAATCAATGAGATTTTAACAGAAATACATTAAAAACTATACATTTTAAAAAATAAACCTATGCCTACTGTTTTGGTGATTTTTCTAAGGTCCTATTTAAAGACTATGGCCCAAGGTGTGGGGTGGAAAACTATGGTCCTCCTTGCCTATTGTAGGTACAGAGGTATTCTCCCTTAAAAGAAAAGTCTCACCTACACTAATTTGTTAATAAATACGTTTTAGTGTCTTAACTGATTCCACACTTGATTGAGTGTTTTTTGGTTGCTGGTAGATTATGGGGGTGGTGGGCACCCTTTTCTCCACACCCTGGATCCACCACTGTCAAAACACTGAATGATGACCCGGTTTGGCAGACCAGTGGAGCATACCATACAAGTCCTGTAAAAAATAAAGACTAATGAAGAGTCCAACTGCCATTCACTGCATTCTAATGAGTTGTACCTCTTATTTTGTTTATTACTGTAAAGGCTGCTGAGCCAGAACCTCCAGCTCCAGAGCAAGCTGAGGAAGAAAAAACAACTGCCAAAGAGAGGTCTACGTTACCAGGCGCCCCCAACTTGGAAACAGTGCCAGAGGCTGAAGAAATAACTGATGATACAGGCACACCTAAGGTAGGTTTTCTTTCTGTAGTTAAAATTTCTAATTCAATATGTAGAGAGTGTGTTGGTAGTAATTTCAACATGTCTATCACAGTTCAATATGATTAAGAGCTACAGGTCTCCCTCCAATTAAAAACCATTTTTGGGACCGGGTTTTTCGTGGTCTTTAGCAGCTTTGGTCACTAATTGGACTAATAAAAATAAAAGACTTGTGTTAATTTGGGACCACAGAAAAGTGGTCTTCAGTTGGAGGTGGTCTTTATTTGGAGGGGGCTTTCATTAGAGGGAGACTTGTATTTCCAATTATCTACAACTACAGCAAGGAGCGATATGGTTTTATGCTTTTACGTTGTGATAATTAAAATTTCTTTGTCATATTAAGTAATTAAGTAGTGGTAGCCAACACTTATGTACAGGGACTATCTCCTTTTTTGGCTAACATCTCAAGTGTGTTGAGAAAAAATAAACTTTGAATTTTTAATAACAGTAGTATTAATGATTTCTGTGTGTTGTGCAAGTATTTAAGTTTAACATTTGATGTACACTTTCCTGTTGGGAATATTGTGTATATTTAAAGTTTTAAACCTGCTTATAAATAATTTAAATGAGATTTTTAAATAATTTTAATCACAGTAAATGTTTAATTAAATTTTATTAACTGTCCAGGAAGTGGCTGTTGTTACATACATCTTAAACATATTCTTAATTCTGATTGGATGTTAAAGTTAAACTTTCCTAAGTCGACTGTGCCTAAGTCGAACGATTTCTAATTCGATCTTATTTTACACGCCAAATTATTGTTTTTTCCATTGATTAACAATCTGTAAGTCGAGTTTTATTAAGTCAAACAATATTTCAATGGTATTTTGGATTCGACTTGGGCAAGTTCAACTGTATTTTCATTAACCAGTACATACAGCAATTATAAATTTGTTTAAAATTGGTGCAACAATAGCTATTTAATACCTTCTGGTCATTAGTTGACAATGCATGCTATTTGCCAATAGTATTACAGGATGCTTTTTTTATGGAAGGGTTGGGGATGGGGGTGTGGGTGGAGTTATTGTACAACTATTTCTCTTTCCTTGTATCATATTTAAAAAAAAAAAATCATAGTGACAATAATCTTTTTTTCAATTTAAGCCAACTGAGCCTGTTGACGGAGCTGAAAAGACAGAGGAAACCACAGAAGAGACGGAAGATGCACCAGAATCAGGAGAAACAAGCAGAGAACCAGCAACAGGCACCGCAGAAGAGGGTGAAGAAACATCCAGAGGGGGTGACGAGGCAACAGCAGAAGAGCCATCTACTTAATCCTGTCTAAACAGTAGTGACATCAGTTGGCCTGGAGGTTTTAAAATAATGTATAAATAAATGTATTTAAATAATGAAGACATTTAGGATTGTATTTGAGTCACCAGAAATTTGTTCTGTATTAATTATTTTTCTTATATTTTTATTGTTATTTTGGTTTTGTTTATTATTAGACCTATTAAAAAAAATTATTGATAAGTACCTTGCATGTAAAAGACACAATATTTACTTCTAGGCCCTAGGTTATACTGTTATCATCATATCATCATTTATCACTATTATTATTACTTCTGTCTATAATAATATATAATCCCAAAGACAAAAATTGAAACTTACTTTATAGAACATCACATCCCAAAAAAAAAGATATTTGCTTAGTTTGTATATTTTAATAAGTTATTAGCTGTCATCTGAAAATTGGAGCAATCATCTGTTATCCTTGACCAGGTATAATATGGACATTTAAATAATACCAATTTTGAGCGCATAGAGACCTTAATATTTTGTGCTATATAATGAAAAACGTTAACCATTATTTACTTTGTATAAATAAACCCATGATTTTTCTAGTATATCTTTAAAGCAATATTTTTACATCCAACATTCACTTTTCTAAACTTAATATACAGTATATATTAAATAATTTGGTATTTTTTGCTGATATCATCATAACAGTGCATAATTTGTTGTTCAGTTATATCAGTTATATTTATTCTTGGGACAATGCCGTGAGTTGAGCGTATATGGCGCTATACATATTATCATCATCATTATTATTTTTTTTCAAAGTAATGTTTTATTTATATTTCTATGTATATAACATGAATACTGATTCGTTCTATTGTGATTTAATGTGAAATTCTTGTGAATTATATATATTTTGTTATTCAATAATTTTCTACTTGTATGATTAATGTCTGCAATGAGGTAGCACTTTACTGTACCCTCCCAAAACAAGTCTGCTGTAAATAAATGATTAAGAACCACTGTAATATAATTTCTTGAAAAACCAAACTTTGATAAAATACTGCTAAATATTTTAGAAAATGAACGTCACAGTATTTAACTTGGCGGATATTTCTTATCATCAGGAGAGTATTAGCAATCAATTTCTCACGAAAATTAATAATACAAACGAGTGGAGTTGATTAGCATGGTGGTTACAATGCTTGCGTTCCAAATCCCATGGTCCTGGGATCAATTCCTGTCACTGTGACATAATTTTTCTCACGACCAAAAACAGCTCCACCCCTGAAGTCTATGTAGTAGAGCATCTTGTGTGTATGTTTGACTTGTGATGGGATTGCCACTTTGAAGAATAGTTGAGTTCACAGGTTGGCATATCCTAGTGCGAAGCCCCCTGGAAGCCACGGATATTTGATGAATTATGGCGAATTTTTATTACTTATTTGAGAAAGGCATCGCGTTACTATAATATGACTTCATGTAGGATATGCTATCTTATGTTGAAATCAGCTTCCAAAACCAAAACATTTCGAATGAAGCAAGAAACAAAGAGTATGCAATGTAACCATCTAATTTAAGTTAAAAAAAAAAAAAAAAAAATTCTATATTTTGGAAATTTTGCATGAAATTTGTTAACCACGCTTTCATGGTCGAGGTTGCTTCACCTATCACGATGTTTTCTAACAATCATGAGGCTATCTAAATG